TGGTTAAAGGAAAGAGTTCAGAAGCCCATCAAGCCACATTGGAGGAGACCACCTAATCCTCCAGAGAGTGCCACTCCATCTTCCTGGGGTTAGCGCCACATGCAGTAAGGCCATTACGTCTAAGGCCATCAAGACTTGCAGTCCGAAGATGAGACTTTTGACATGCTGAGAAGCAGCAGTGATAAGAAAAGCCCACACACTGGCCAAGAATTTTTCAATGAAAGCAGCCGAGACGCTTCTTCATATGCCTCGGTAGGGGCTAATATCAAACTCTTTCTTCCCATTTTCTTTACTCAGCAGTGCCTGAACCATGAGGTACCATAGATGTACACCTCATCAGGAGGCTGTATGGTACAGCAGCAAGGGGAGCAGCAGCACAAGAAACAAACAAGGCCACTACTTCTACCTACATAATAACTATTGTCTTGGAGTGTACAATAATTAATAATGTTCACATGGCTGCCCTCAGTATACAGAGATAGTGACCAGAGCAGATACAGGGACTACAGAGATACAGCTTGATTCTTGCTAATTAGGACTGAAGTGTTAGCTTATGTGCTGTGCTTTTGTGCATTCATAAGCCAGGGCCTCAAAGCTGCCTGCTCAGCACAAGCCAAAGGTCATGCTGGGGTGCAGTTAAACGTTGATGTCTAGGAGATGAGAGTATTTTAGTGTGGGAGAAGATGACAACACCTGAGGACCACAAAACACTGTGCAGAACAAAGGGACGGCCCATCATCAGCTCACAGTTCTGACCCAGGTGACTGCTGATGTGTTACGGAACAGTCAGCCGACAGCAGGTAGGTCAAGTTGAGCAGGTGTCCTGCATGAGGGCTGGTCCATTCCATTCGTGTTGCCAATTGTTTCAATAGCGTCTCATGCACCTCACTGGTGAGGAAGGAATTCGCACCCTACGTTTACTGGCACCGTTAAAACCACGCATGACACTGATCACTTTAACCACGATAAAGCCCACGCACATTCAGTTATCTAATTAACAGACAGGAGGGATGGTGAAAGTCACTGGGGCCAAACAGGATAACTTGAGCGCAGAGCGGGTGGGTATACTTAAGAAAGGTGGAGGATATTCTTTTTTTTTTTTTTTTTGGACACAGATCGCATCTGTCACCGCGTTGCTGGGGTGCAGGTGGTGTGATCTCAGCGCACTGCAAGCTCCGGTCGTCCCGGTAACTGTATGGTACTTAAGCGAATTAATACCAACATATTATTAGAAAAAATAAATATCTTTACATCAAGAGTAGTTTTTCCTTTAATAAAAATAGGTGGAATGTGTATAATGGACAAGGGATAATCAAAATGTGCCAAATGAGGCTAGTAAGACAATCCCAAGAATTCACAATCATTATTCACTGGTCCATTAATCACAGGACAATACATACAAATGAAACTTACCTGGCCGGGCGCGGTGGCTCGTGCCTGTAATCCCAGCACTTTGGGAGGCCGAGGTGGGCAAATCATGAGGTCAGGAGTTCAAGATCAGCCTAGCCAACATGGCGAAACCCTGTCTCTACTAAAAATACAAAGAATTAGCTGGATGTAGTGGCGGGCGCCTGTAGTCCCAGCTACTCGGGAGGCTGAGGCAGGAGAATCACTTAAACTCAGGGGGCAGAGGTTGCGGTGAGCCGAGATCGCACCACTACACTCCAGCCTGGGCAACAGAGTGAGACTCTATCTCAAAAAGAAATAATAATGAAATAAAAAAATTAAACTTACCTACATATTAGAAAAACATCCAAATTCAACCATGAATCCAGCACATTATCAAATGAATAGACAAAAATTCTACCAACAAACTGAAGAAAACATCATTATCTATGAAATTCAAGTACTACTGCTTAAAGCACTTACAGAACCCTCACCTCAAGGTTTCCCTGCAAAACAAGGTGAAATGCATACTCAAGACTCTTTAAGAATGAGCTACTGATAAAAACAATGTACTTGTAACTTGTGTAATACTTCATACATTTTTTTCAAGCACTGCACGATAATTAATTTGTATCAGGCTTTCCAAATTAAAAAAGCTTCACTTATAGAACTTCTTTGCAGTGGGAGTTTTCACATGACTTTTCAAGTAAATGTTACAACTGAAAATATTCTTGCAGTTTCTAAACTGTTAGAGTTTTAATCTTGTGTACGTTCTTGTATTTACAAGGTCAGCCAGCGACAGTGGGCATTTTCATATGTCCTTGAGTAGGTATGAGAGAAATGAAACACTCTAACATTCTGGACATTCATAGGGTTTTTCTCAGGACTGAGCTGATTTCTTCAAATGGAACTAACACAACTGAAGGCCTTACCACAAATTTAAATTCAAAAGGCTTTTCTCCACTCTGAGCCCTCCCAAATCTTCACAAACAGGAAAATCTGAAGGCTTGACCACACTTCCTACATTCTTAAGGTTTCTCTACAGTGTGAACTCTTTCATGTTTATGAAGGAATGGGAAACAGTAAATGTTTTATCACATTTCTTACATTCAAGGGACTTTATTTATTTATTTTTGAGATGGAGTCTCACTCTGTCTCCAGGCTGGAGTGCAGTGGCACAATCTTGTCTCCCTGCAACCTCCACCTCCTGGGTTCAAGTGATTCTCCTGCCTCAGCCTCCTGAGTAGCTGGGATTACAAGCATATGCTACCACACCCAGCTAATTTTTGTATTTTTAGTAGACACGAGGTTTCACCATGTTGGCCAGGATGGTCTCGATCTCCAGACCTCGTGATCCGCATGCACAGGACTTCCCCCCAACCCCCCGTGGCTTTTTATGTCCTTGAAAAAGAACTAAGACAACTGAAATGTGCCACTATGCCCAGCTAATTATTTTCTTTGTTTTGAGACGGAGTCTTCCTCTGTCGCCCAAGCTGGAACACAGTGCTGCGATCTCGGCTCACTGCAAGCTCCGCCTCCCGAGTTCACGTCATTCTCCTGCCTCAGCCTCCCAAGTAGCTGGCGTGAGCCACCGCACCTGGCATTATTTTATTTTTTGTAGAGACAGGGTTTCACCATGATGCCCAGGTTGTTTCACATTGTTTTAATCCAGGCTGGTTATGAACTCCTGGGCTCAAGCAATACACACTCCTTGGCCTCCCAAAGTGCTGGGATTATAGGCTGAGTCACTACACCCAGCCTCTATATCATGACTTCTTTCATGGTGAATAAGGTGACTGGAACGAGTGTAGGTTTTACCGCATCTCTTACATGCATAGGGTTTTTCTCCAGTATGAATTCTTTCATGGAGGTGAAGGGAACTGAGGTGACTGAAGGCTTGGTCACATTGTTTACATTTATAGGGTTTCTCTCCAGTATGAGTACTTCTAGGGTTACAAAGGAAACTCAAACGACTAAAGCCTTTGCCACATTGTTTACATTCATAGGGTCTCTCTCCAGTATGAATGCTTCCATGGTCATGAAGGGAAGTGGAACAGTTGAAGGTTTTATCACACTTGGTACACCTTTCTCCAGTGTGAGTCCTTTCATGCGTCTTAAAAGAACAAGAAAATCTGAGTGTTTTCCCACATTCCTTACATTCATAGAGTTTCTCTCCAGTGTGAGTTCTTTCATGTATTAGACAAGAACCGGAAACAGTGAAAGTTTTACCACATTGTTTACATTTATAGGGTTTTTCTCCTGTGTGAGTTCTCTGATGTCTTTCAACTGAATTGAGAAAATGAAAAGCTTTCCCACATATCGTACATTTATAAGCTGGATTTCCACTGTGCATTATCATGTGTCTTCTAACACCCGGAACAGAAACGAAAAGTTTCCCACACTGTTCACATTTATATTGCTTCTCTCCATATGGTTTGTATCCTGAGTGAGCTAGGATGTGCCTATTAAGGAGGGAATGACGTACAAAGACTTTTCCACAAATACTGCATACACATTGTTTTAATCCAGTAGAAATGTTCTCATTCAGACCAAGATTTCGTATGTGGCTGACAACTTGTCCATACTGACTACCTTCTTTGCTTTCACACAGTCTCTGTACCATGTGATTTCGGTTAAAAAAAAAATGACAAGCACATTACTATTGGTTGGTTTAATAACTTTCTACTTATTCATAGGTCTTCAACTTACACTGCTACCAATACCAGGGAAAATTGATTTTTGTGTTTTTTTGTTGTTGTTGTTTTTGTGCCACGACTGAATTACTTGAAAGTAAATGGGCTACTGCTGAAAACACAGCTACCACCTGCATGGTTATGACCAAAATGGTAACATTCATGTATGCAATTTTGTAGTACTATTTTCAAGTAAACTGTTTTCCAAACACTGACTGCTACACTGAAGTACGTTACATTTTCGGTGAAATTTTTCTAAAAAGAAATGAATTTCAAGTGACTCTTATTTGCTTTGATTGCTTGTTTTTAAGTTTATGACATGCTAAGATTCCTTCAGAGGACTTTATTTCCTCTTCTCAGTGCAAATTATCTTGTATCTTTCCCAGGTTTTTTGAAGTGATCTTCAATATTCTGGTCGTTCCGTTTGTTTCCTAAAATGCAGACCCACAAAATTATCATGAATTATTTCAAACTATAGAAACATTAGAAACATTACTGCATTTCATGCTCATTGTACACAGTGCCCATGCCTGATTTATTCACCAAATCATTCCCTTGCCCCATTCCAAATCACAAATAGCACTGAAGATAGGGAAATACTCCTGTAATTAAGTGAAATGTGTTGTCATTCTTACCTACAGAAGTCAGGTTCCTGCAGGTTTCCTGCATCACTTCTCTG